GGCTCCCACAGCGCACGGGGCCAGCCCCAGTGCCCAGCGGGAGGATGGAGGCCGTGACGGAAGCCCCTCTTGGCCCTGGCACCAGGCACGGGACCCGCTGTGCTGGGGAGGTGGCTGCAATGGCCAACAATAGCTTCTGCGGTGTGGGGGTCGCCTTCAACGCCCGAATCGGAGGTACCCAGGGTCCCCCGGAGGCACCATTTGGGGACAGAAGGCGAAGGAGGTGATGCTGGGGGGAGCTGGGTCCACCGACCAGGGGAGCAGGACTCCGGCGCCCACCCTCTCACTGCTGGGTGGTGCTGGGACCAGACTCCAGGGCTTGGGGGAGCTGAACCAGTATGAACGGCCCCTCCAGGGAGCAGAGAGAGGGCCTGAGTGGGGCTGGGGAGTGGTGTGGAGACCTGGGGCAGGCTGGGGTGCAGGGAAGGGCAGGGCTGGTGGCAGAGGCCCCCTGCCCCCCGTCCCCCTGCAGGCGTGCGGATGCTGGACGGGCCCGTCACCGATGCCATTGAGGCCCAGTCGCTGAGTCTGCGGCCCCAGTACATCCACATCTACAGCGCCAGCTGGGGCCCCGAGGACGACGGCCGCACGGTGGACGGCCCCGGCATCCTCACCCGCGAGGCTTTCCGGCAAGGCGTGACCAAGGTGAGTGGGGGCGCCCCAAGAAGGGCAGGGATGGTGGGCCCGGGCAATGCCCACTTACCATCCCTCCTGGTTTCCCAGGGCCGCGGCGGGCTGGGCACGCTCTTCATCTGGGCCTCGGGCAACGGCGGCCTCCATTACGACAACTGTAACTGCGACGGTTACACCAACAGCATTTACACGCTCTCTGTGGGCAGCGCCACCCGGCAGGGCCACGTGCCCTGGTACAGCGAAGCCTGCGCCTCCACCCTCACCACCACCTACAGCAGCGGCGTGGCCAGCGACCCCCAGATCGTGCGTGCAGCCCCCCGACAGGGGCCCCTCCCAGGCCCTGCCAGCCCAGACTGGCCTCACCTCCCTTCTGTCCCCACCACTGACTCAGCACTCTCCCAAAGCTGCTTTTAAAACCCAAATCAGGCCGGGCACGGAGGCTCACGCCTGTAATCCCAGCACTTTGGGAGGTCGAGGCAGGCGGATCACTTGAGGTCAGCAGTTCAAGACCAGCCTGGCCAACATGCTGAAACCCCATCTCTTCTAAAGATACAAAAAATTGCATAGGCGTGGTGGAGCCTGCCTGTAGTCCCAGGTACTCAGGAGGCTGAGGCAGGAGAATTGCTTGAACCTGGGAGACGGAGGCTGCAGGGAGCAGAGATCACACCACTACACTCCAGTCTAGGTCACAGAGGAGACCCTGTCCAAAAGGAAAAATCCAGCGGGCACAGCAGCCCACTTTGGGAGGCAAAAGTGGCAGGATCACTTGAGCCAATGGTTCATTTTGTTTGTTAGTTTTTGAGAACAGTCTTGCTCTGTCCCCAGGCTGGAGTGCAGGGGCATGATCTCAACTCACTGCAACCTCCGCCTCCTGGGCTCAAGAGATTCTCCTGCCTCACCCTCTTGAGTGCGGGGACTACAGGCATGCGCCACCACGCCTGGCTAAAATTTTTTTTGTATTATTAGTAGAGTCGGGGTTTCACCATGTTGGCCAGGCTCGTCTGAAACTCCTGACCTCAAGTGATCCGCCTGCCTCAGCCCCCCAAAGTGCTGGGATTATAGGCATGAGCCATCACACCTGGTAAGCCTAGAGTTTGAGACCAGTGCGGGTGCCGTAGTGAGACCCCATTTCTACAAAAACATTTAAAAATTAGGCCAGGCGTGATGGCACACATCTGTGGTCCCAGCTACTTGGGAGGCTGTGGTGGGAGGTTTGCTTGAGCCCAGGAGGTCGAGGCTGCAGTGAGCCATGATCACACCACTGCACTCCACCTGGACAGCAGGGCAAGACCCTGTCTCAAGAGAATAAATAGGTAAATACAACTTAAATCCAACCCCACCAGCTCAGCCACAGCCCTCCTGTGGCTCTCCAGGGCTCTTGGATGAAACCAGCTCCTGCATCCGGGCCACCTCTGTGCCCTCTCTCAGTGCCTTGTGGGGAGGTTCCGCCTCATTCCTCCAGCCCCCTCCTGCCTCAAGGTCTCCATGAGGAGGCCCCTGTGCCAGATCACTGCCCCTCTTCTGCCCCTGCTGACTCCTCCTTCAGATCCCCGCCTGGGACCACTGCCTCCAGGAAGTCCCCCAGGCCTTCACTCCATATACTTGCCTCCCAGTGTTTGAGAGTCCCTGAGGCAGGGACCAGCTCCCCACCCCCAGGGCTCCTCAGGCCAGAACCAGGAGGGCCTGGGTCATCTCTCAGGCCCCTGGACCAGACACATAGCAGGTGCTCCCCCGAACACCTCCACACTCAGGTGAGCATCCTGCCAGGACTGCCCCATGGTCCTGTCGCCTTTGCTGACCCCCACCTCTCCCAGGCAGGGCCGGCTTCCAGGCATATGACACAGCAGGCACCTTGTCAGGTCAGTCCTTAGTATTTTTTCTTTGTTTTTTTGTTTTTTGTTTTTTTTTTTTGAGACGGAGTTTCGCTCTTGTTACCCAGGCTGGAGTGCAATGGCGCGATCTCGGCTCACCGCAACCTCCGCCTCCTGGGTTCAGGCAATTCTCCTGCCTCAGCCTCCTGAGTAGCTGGGATTACAGGCACGCGCCACCATGCCCAGCTAATTTTTTGTATTTTTAGTAGAGACGGGGTTTCACCATGTTGACCAGGATGGTCTCGATCCCTTGACCTTGCGATCCACCCGCCTCGGCCTCCCAAAGTGCTGGGATTACAGGCGTGAGCCACCGCGCCCGGCCTTTTTCTTTGTTTTTTTTTTGCGTTGTTTTTGTGTGTGTGTGTGAGATGGAAGCTTGTTCTGTCACCCAGGCTGGGCACAACAGAGTGAGGTGGCAGGATCTCGGCTCACTGCAACCTCCGCCCGTCAGGCTCAAGCGATCCTCCTGCCTCAGCCTCCTGAGCACCTGGGGACACAAGCATCCCACCGCGTCTGGCTAATTTCTTTTGTATATTTTGTAGAGTCGGAGTTTTACCAGGCTGGTCGCAAACTGCTGAGCTCAAGTGATTTGCCGGCCTCAGCCTCCCAAAATCCTGGGATTCACAGGCGTCCAACACCACACCCAGCCTAATGTTTTGTATTTTTAGTAGAGCTGGGGGTTTCACCGTGTTGGCCAGGCCCTTAGTACTTGCTGAGGATAGTCCTTGTTACCTCTTTTGTTTTTTTAGACAGAGTTTTGCTCTGTTGCCCAGGCTGGAGTGCAATGGCATAATCTCAGCTCACGGCAACCTCCGCCTCTTGGATTCAAGCAATTCTCGTGCCTCAGCCTCCCGAGTAGCTGGGATTACAGGCGTGCGCCACCGTGCCCGGCTCATTTTTGTATTTTTAGTGGAGACAGGGTTTCACCATGTTGGCCAGGCTGGTCTCAAACTCCTAACTTCATGATCTGCCCGCCTCGGCCTCCCTAAGTACTGGGATTACAGGTGTGAGCCACCGCACTCAGCCAATTTTTGTATTTTTGTAGAGACAGGGTTTCATTATGTGGACCAGGCTGGTCTTGAACTCCTGAGCTCAGGTGACCCGCCCGCCTCGGCCTCCCACAGTGCTGGGATCACAGGCTGAGCCTCCAGGCCTGGCCAGTCCTTGGTTCTTTTTGAAGAAGGGCTGCATTCTTGCTGTACACACCCCGAGTCTCACCCCTCTCTGTCCACAGGTCACCACGGACCTGCATCACCAGTGCACGGACAAGCACACGGGCACCTCGGCCTCAGCCCCACTGGCGGCGGGCATGATCGCCCTGGCACTGGAGGCCAAGTAGGTGACTGTGGGGCTCTGCCCACTGCCCTCGGCCCCCAGGCGCGGCCCCCGGCTCACCGGCCCCCGACGCCCCCAGCCCGTTCCTGACGTGGAGGGACCTGCAGCACCTCGTGGTCCGCGCGTCCAAGCCGGCGCACCTGCAGGCTGAGGACTGGAGGACTAATGGCGTGGGGCGCCAAGGTGCGGTGGGGCTGGGTGGGGGCGGGGACCCCAGACCCGCTGGGCGAGTGACGGCCACCCTCCTGCACAGTGAGCCATCACTACGGCTATGGGCTGCTAGACGCCGGGCTGCTGGTGGACACCGCCCGCACCTGGCTGCCCACCCCACCGCAGATGAAGTGCACCGTCCGGGTCCAGAACAGCCCCACGTGAGCCCCTGCCTGCCCCTCGTGCCCTGTCAGTAAACGTTGCCATCGCCGCTGGGGGTGTGAGGGGAGGCCTGAGGCCTCAGTTTACCCATCTGTAAAATGAAGGCTGGACCCCGTGACCTCTGAGCCCTGACCCACCTGCTGGCTGCCCACCCCCCAAGCAGCCGCAGGAGGGTCCTCACCCCCCGCCGCCCCCAGCCCTATCCTGCCGGTGATGTACATCAGGAAGAACGTGTCGGCCTGTGCCAGCCGCCACAACTCCATCCGCTCGCTGGAGCACGTGCAGGTGCAGCTGACGCTGTCATACAGCCGGCGCGGGGACCTGGAGATCTCGCTCACCAGCCCCATGGGCACACGCTCCACACTGGTGGCCATACGGTGAGCGGCCAGCAGAGGGGAGGGGTGGCCTCACGCCCTGTGGGTACATGCTGCCATCTCCCCCCTCCATCCTCACGGCGAGGGGCCAGGCCCACAGGAATCACACGGCAGCCTGGCGGGTGGGACCTCCATGTACGCCCCTGCCCACACCCAGCGGACACCGCCAGCAGCGCATGAGGCCAGACACCTGATGGGCTCTGAGGGCTTCACAAAGCCATTCCTCCTGACATGCCCACCCCTGCCCGCCCTTCTGTCCCAGACCCCTGGACGTCAGCACTGAAGGCTACAACAACTGGGTGTTCATGTCCACCCACTTCTGGGATGAGAACCCGCAGGGCGTGTGGACACTGGGCCTGGAGAACAAGGGCTACTATTTCAACACGGGTGAGGGCGGGGCGGGGTTGTGGGGGACGGGGCTGGGCTCTCCGACCTCCCCCCAGGGGCTCTGGTGCTAGCCTTGGTGACCCCACTGAAAAACAGGTTCCCAGTGGTCTTCTCCAAGGGAACATTCGCACAGTAGGTGTGCAGTCACCTGGGAGATGTCAATGTGCAGTGACGGGCACGCAGTAGGTGTGGAGTCACCCGGGAGATGTCGGTGTGCAGTGACGGGCACACAGTAGGTGTGGAGTCACCCGGGCGATGTCGGTGTGCAGTGACGGGTACGCAGTAGGTGTGCAGTGACAGGCACATAGTAGGTGTGCAGTGACAGGCACGCAGTAGGTGTGGAGTCACCTGGGAGATGTCAATGTGGAGTGACGGGCACATAGGAGGTGTGCAGTCACCCGGGAGATGTCAGTGTGCAGTGACAGGCGTGCAGTAGGTGTGGAGTCACCTGGGAGATGGTGTGTGGTGACAGGCACACAGTAGGTGTGCAGTGACAGGCACACAGTAGATGTGGAGTCACGCAGGAGATGTCAATGTGGAGTGACAGGCACGCAGTAGGTGTGGAGTCACCCGGGAGATGTCAGTGTGCAGTGATGGGCACACGGTAGGTGTGCAGTGACAGGCACACAGTAGGTGTGGAGTCACCCGGGAGATGTCAGTGTGCAGTGACGGACACACGGTAGGTGTGCAGTG